ACAATGAAACACTCTTAAAGCACGTTTATTTTAGAAGCACGCTTTGCTTAAGGTGAAAAACTATAAATGCATGCTAAAGTCTTTAATACTTATGTAGATGCTATATAATTGTTAAAAGCAGAACAAAGTAAAACTGAAGCTTGAACCACCTCTGTTCATACCTAGATATTCCTGTCCTCCCAGTTGTTAACAAGGTTCACTTAAGATGTGTTTTGGCAATGCTCTTTCCCAGTTTTGAAAGAAACTGACCACTGGTGGTATCTATGGAGGGCCGCCTTCATCCCTCCAGTGGGACACTGGGCCCCACTTTCCCTGACTCGCGGGAAGCAGATGGCCCTTTTCTGCTTGATTGTGGAGCTGTGCACCCCAGGCTTTCGGCTCTGCTGTACTTGGCATATCGCTCACTGACTGCTACCCTGATATTACAGTGCCAATGATCCCGCTGTCACATGATCAAAACTCCGTTACCCTCAGAGACTTTAAAGTGATCCGAGGTCTCTACTAAGTTTTACGTTTGTAGTGCCTGGTTCAGTCATTCCTCCTCCCTCTGCTCCTGTGCCTCAGTGGAAAATAAGATCTGCACTTGCAATTCCAGAGGATTACCAGGCTCAGATACTCGTGTCAAATGGCTCATTCAGTCTTCTAAAAGACTGCCAGTGGGATCTAGAAAGATCTCTCCAGGTCCTGATGTGATAAATTTTATTTGAATGAAGGGTAGATTATATGTGAATACTTTAAGGAAGTCATAAAGAATGTCATGAGGCAGATTTGAAAATCTAGCTATAGTGGTTTCAGTGAGATATCCCTCATAGTTTGGGGCATTTGAACACCTGATCCCCAGTTAGCAGTGTTGTTTGGGAGGCTTTGTCAGTGCATGGTTGTTAGAGGAAGTATGTCACTGGAGAATGAGCTGTTTCTAGTGTGTCCCCTCTGTTTCATGCTTGAGACTCAAGATGTGGACTCTCAGCTGCTACTCTAGCCACATGGCCGCCACTGGCCACCTCCACTCCACTGCCATGGACTCCAGCCCTCTGAAATCTAATCCCAAACAAACCCTTCCTTTCGAGGGTGCCTTGGTCATGTTCTGTCACAGCAACAGAAAAGTAACTAATACAACGGCTTTTTAGCTTTGTTGGTGTTTACACTTAGCTCTGTCAAAATGATTTTTATTTATGCCCTTTTACTGTACTTGAATAATATGAAAGTCTTCAGATAAAAGCAATACACATTATGCTTCAATAGATACCCATTCGGCTAATATCAGAACACTTACTCATGAAGTAAAATAATCACTAAGGTCCTTGTTGCTGTCAGAGACAGACTGGACAGGAACCATAACATTGTTGATCCTGCTTCAAGGAGTACCTGCATTTGAAGCACTATACTCTTTTCATAGCATACATTTTAATATTTTAAGTCAAGCATTATTCTGTACTATAACAGGTGCTTTCAAGTTTTCACTAGCTCTTATACACTGTGGTCATGTCATGCACTCGTGGTCTTTTAACTCAAATCATTACTGCCCAATTTACTTTCATGAAGTGATTAAGAAACAAAGCCTCACATTTGAGAAGGACTAGAAGACCCCCCCCCCTTCTGTACAAGCCCTTGTGTTTGAAGCAGTGCTGAACAGAACCTCAGGAACCAACCTCACAGTGGCAAGGTAGCAGAAGGTGGGACTGAAGCCATGACTGTTTGGCTGAAGCTGCTACATCTGGGACATACAAGGAATTCCATGTGTCCCGGAGGTGTTCCCACATGGCAAAAAGACAGCAGAGGACTTTGATGGCGTAGGTCATATGTCAGGGTATTCAGGAAGACCCAGAAGAGCATGGTGGATCAGTATGTCCCCTCATGCTAATGGTTGGGGGAGCAGCCTGAGTCGAGTGACAGTAGGCTTTTAACATAAGAGATGTCTGACTGCAGTTTAAGTGAGGCAATGTGAATTTCTGGCCTAGTTTGTGGTGGTGCCATATTTGATGTGGTAGAACCAGTTATATAGAGCTTTAATGATCAGGAGTTCAACCTACACTCATGACAAATTTAAATGTGATTCACAGAATTCAGTCATTTAATCTTTGTGAACCAGTTTTCTCATTTGTGAAAAAATGGAAATTATATCTACTTTACCAGTTTGAGGGGCATTATCTCTTAAGATAATGTGTGGGGGAAAAACCTTTGTTTTGACCAATGTCTTACTCATCCAGGAAAGGGCACCCTGTCTTTCACCCAGCATCTTAGACACCTTTCTCGCAGAGTCTCAAACGTGCCCTTCTGCGACCTGAAACCCAGACAGTTATGAACTAGGTAGGCCACGGATACTAATGCCAAAGCTGGGAAAACCCAAATTCATGCAAAAGACCATTCCTGATTTCTCCAAGATGGCCTTTCATAGTGTCTAGTGTGCCGAAAGCCTCCCAGACGTTATTCCTCCTCACACATCCGAGTCTGTCCAGAAAAGGCTCCTTAAGCATCCTCAAGAATTGAGGGACATCTGGCTCATATGAGCTTGAGATCCTGTCTCTGCCCTTTTCCCTTCTCCCCATCCTCAGGCTCACCCCCATTTGCTCCATGTCTCCCTGCCTGTAACTTCCACCCCTACATGTGGACCAGGATATCACATCTCATTTATTATTTGAACCATCATGTCCCATTTCCATCTAATTTAAATTAATTCTGTAATCTAGAAAGCCCTGTCTCATAGCTCGTTTCGGTTTTTTTGTTTGTTTGTTTTTTGGTTTTTTTTTTGTTTGTTTGTTTGTTTTCTGGAACTCCTTGATTTTCTCAGTTTCCTATATCCCACTATTTCCTTCTCACATGGCCCAAAATAAAAACACATCTCTACTTTATGAAGAGATGGATGCTGGAGAAAAAGGGGGGGAGTTTCTGTGCCATGTCTCCAGAGTTACGACGCTATACTGTGTGGGCAGAAATACAGTTGACAGAGGAAACATAACGCACAGACATGCCAGTGCTCCATTGGAATCCCCCCCAAAAATGAGGGTCATGGGTAATTGAGGAAAGTGTTTCTGGAGAGAGGTGCTACAAGACAGTGATGAAAAACTGTGCTGGTCTTTATAGGAGGTACAGAAACAATCAGCTGCAAGGGAAAGACAGATTGGAGCAGTGAGCGTCCACCCTCCGCACCTATAGCAACATGAAAAGAGAATGCGCATTATTTTTAAATTACTTTTGTTGTGTATTTCTTATTACAAAATAAATATATCTTGATAATAGAAAGTCTCAGAAATGCCAATAATCAGAAGGAAGAAAATTAGAAAGAAAACCACCTACCACCCATAACGTCTCCTCCTGGAGAATGCTTTACAGTTGTTTTCTGATATTTTAATTTTTTGTAAACTCCTATGAAATGAAATATCCTTCAGTGATGTCTATTTATGGCTGTGCTTTCTTCTCTCTTCCAAAGCTGTATGATAAATTTCTAAACAGTTTTTCTGGTTAAGTATCTTTGCTTGGTCCCTACTCCAGCACAGAAGGTAAGAACTCATACTGGCCATGATTTTACTGCATTTTTCTACCACTTATTTGCTGGTGAGTTTCCATTTTGTTTACCTTTCTTTGGAAATGCTATTCTTATTTTTGATGTATTTTTGCATACCCTGCCTTACCAGCAGCCTAAGATAGTCTCCTGCTTATAATCTTGATCCTCTCTTGCCAGCTTCCCTTGGCTGGGGTTACACAGGGGTGTGCCAATTCCTGCTCTGTCTGTCTATTCACTGATAGTAGTTTCAATAGCAAAGTCATTGTAACAAATGGGGACAGCTTATTGGCCGTGGCAGCACCATTTCTGCCTGTGCTATTGTGGAAACATGCTGCTCCTAATAAAAACTGCCAAGGTTAATTTAAACTTCCATGGTAATACTGTTAGAAGGGCTAAGTCTTATATTCTGCAGGATGAGTTGGATTAAAGTATAAATGTAGTGACTATATTGCAATAAGCTGTTATGATAGAAATGCTATTACTGTGCCAACTGATAGGACTGTGCTTATCCTACACTAACTCCATAGTACATTGAACGTGCAGTAATTAATTTCACAGACTAGTAAAATAAGGCATAGAGGGGCTGTCGTTAGCCTAAGCCCAAACAAACAAAAGGGATAAAACTGAAGGAGGAACAGACTGGCTGCTTGAAGCCTTCACTCAATTTGAATTGCTACAGCTGAAATGCCTAGGTGCGGTTTGTCTAGTTAAGACAAGCGGTGTCACTCTAATGCTGTCAAAGACTGCTTACATTACAAGAGAGTAGGAGTGTTTCCGAAGGAAATGAACATGTAGCATACGGTCTGCAGCATGGAACTGCCACTGTTCTCCCAGAAATACATTGTCTCAGATGTTAAGGAATGAAATGGTTTGAGGCTAATTTAGAGTTTGGAATTTGAGAAGATACGTCAGTAGCAACTGGTAAGATACAATCATGCAGAACTAAGCAGACCGTGTCAGTGCCTCCATCAGATGCTGAGAAGCAGGTCTAAACTCCACTCACTATGCCAGCACAGTCTTTCTCACGATGTCTAAATGATTCCTAAGAGCGAGGCAGTTGCCATCTTGAGAAAGCAATGAGGACAATGGTGGCAACCCCGGGCTCCGGGAAAGTCTTCCTGTCTATATCCCACTGAGCATATCATGTTGAGCTGAGCCTCCGCTCTCTCTTCTGTAAAACGAAGCCGTGAATTCTGCTCCAGCAGACTGTTTCGGGGTAAAATGGGGCATGCACGCTGTTCTGGAGACGCCAGTCAATGCAAAGAGCCTTCACACTGTCACTGAACATGAACAATAGAAGCCGTTTCTACTTTTTGAGGCCCACCCCTCTTGAAGGGCCTCTGAACCACAGAGGCTACTGAATCTACAGCCCCTAAATCCTTTTCACCTCCAACTCCTTTTCACCACATTCCCCCGCTTCTCTCCCCATTTGTGAGTCACGCTAACACATGTGTTTCTGGCCCGTGCTTTACAGTCATGAATGGCTCTCATTCTTCAGGTGAGCTTCTGGAAGCTGCCCACCATTATGAGGCATTCCACGAACTGACACAGGGGCGGCTATGGAAGGATGAGACGGGTCAGCTTCTCAACTTGCTGGCCTGTGAAAATCTCGTGAGGACCTACAGACTGCTCGCCGACAAAATGCTGGAAAACAAAGAATACAAACAGGCCATCAAAATTCTAACAAAAGCTTCCGAAATAGCCAAAGAAGGTGGGTGGAAAGAATGCTCTCACGTTGTCTCCTTTAATGGACAGACGCTGTTTCTCCCAGGAGAGGAGTAAAAATTGCCAAGTGTTGGGGGTAATTATTTCATGTGAAATGCAAAGACAATTGCCATCAATATGCTTTCAGATTTCACTGTAAGGCAGAGGTAGGGACCTTAGTGCTGACAATGAGAAATCCATTAGTTCCTTGAAAGCTTTATCTCCCAAATTACAATCCACTGGGGCTACTGTTGTAAAACAGGGAGCCCACAGAGTGGAGATAAGGTCGTGTGTGTGTGTGTGTGTGTGTGTGTGTGTGTGTGTGTGTGTGTTGTCTATTTTTGGCAGTCTGAGAAATCCTTTATTCTTTATAAATTCCCTACAGTCAGACATTTGGGAAATTGTGATGAATGTTTAGTTAGGAGTAACAAGGAAATAGCAGTGCAATATACTTCAGAGCTCTTCCTCTCAAAGCTCGGCCTGTGGACCTGCACTTCAATATCACCAGGAGGCATGCTATGAGAGTCCCATTCCGCCCCAGCCACACTGGCAGTGTCAGCAGCGTCTGCAGGCTGGCAGGATGCCCACGTCATCCTCACTCACCCTCTCAGCAGTAAAAACGCCTTGGTAGAGCTGCTCATATCCTCGATATCTCACCACATCTTTATCTGTAGACAACATGATGACAATGGTGCATAGTCTTGTAAACTTTTAGTTTATAACAGGCAAAGAAAAACACCCCTTGCATTACTACATCACCACATAGTAATTTTCTAATGGAGAAGTTTTCCCATGAAAGGGAATAGGGAAGTTACAGTCTTGGCTTTTGGACATATTTAGTGAATTTATTTGTTAAGTAGCTTATGGCTTTGATTTTAATTTCCTATAGAGGAAAAGTAAACATTTGAGCTCTTTTTGCTGTTGTTTCTTTAAAAATAACTTAGTTGAAATGTTTAAAAGAAATGTCCATCACTGAAAGATAAATTCCATCAAATGAACTGATTCTGCATAAATGATGGTTCATGTCTTCTCTGGGGGGAGGAGGTTAAGTGTGGGCACCGATCCTTAGCGCTGGGATCAGGGTCAGCAGCACACTCTGATCATGCAGAAAGGTTTGCAGGAATCCCAATAAATTGGCATGTTGGACATTAGGAAAAGACGCTGTCCTTGAGTTGTATGTCTTCTGTGTGGCAGCAGAGCTCGCAGAGGAAGGAATGAACAGTGAGGAAGTACGTGCCTCTCATGTTGGTATTAGACAGCCTTCCTGAGGCACTTACATGCCCAAATCCTCGAGTGCACCATGAGTCAACAGCATTCCTGGAGCGTGGTGCTTTAAGGAGCTCCCACCTTGTAACATGTGTCACGGCTTCCTTCTTTCGCACGTCCACCAAGTAGCACTTCACTGGATGGTTTTTACGCCCTTTCTTTATACACTCCTCATTCGACAGACGTGCGAGCGGTTTGTTGACCTGGCGGCGCTGTCTGTGCATTTGCATTCTCCCGGGGGCATACCTAGCAGAACCACCGGATCATGTGACAGCTCCATATTCACTTTCGGAGGATCTTTAGCTTGCAACGTGGTTGGTTCACCGACCATTTCCACATCTTTGCCCTTTCAGGTGTGTTATTTGTCTATTATTGAGCTGTTAAAACTCTATTAATTGAGTGTTAAGACTCTATTATTGAGTCTTTCCTCAGATTTCTGATCTGAAAACATTTTCTCCCATTTGTGTGGTTCATTTCCACCTTCTGGTGGTATTCAACACAGCGTGAGTTTTTAACTTTCATCAAATCCAACATGTATTTGTGTGTGTGTGTGTGTGTGTGTGTGTGTGTGTGTGTGGTTTCAGTATCATAACTAAGAAGACTGACTAATCCAAGGTCCCAGTGATTTACTGCAGTTGATCTAAGAGCTTTAGTGGTTTAATGTAAATAAGCTACATCAAGTATCAATAGTATGCCATAGTGCATCAATAGTATGCCATACTTCTTATTGAACTGCACTTTGCACCTTTATGCTTTTGCCTTTGGAAAGAACTTGGTGTTTACTGAAATAAATACAGCACGGAAATTAGAGAGGAGAAAGCATGATTTGCAAAGGAAAGCACCTTTCCATTTCAGTATGTACACGGTCCTCTGTGCCACGAAACAGGACTTTGCTGGCCATCCTCACACAAGCGAGACCCAGCAGCTCTGAGCTGAGCATCGTCAGCCCAGCCAGGCTGCATCTGTTAACCATGTGTCCTGTTAGAAACACAGAGCGTTGGCTGGAGTGCGAGCCAGCCAAGCTGCTGCGTGCTGCTGGCTGTTTCGCGTAAGCTACAGGTCTCCACATGCTGGTCTAATGTAAACATTCTATGACATGGGGAGAGTATATACTGTGCTGTGAGCACAGAGGAAACTCCCTGTAATTACATTGCTAAAATATCTTAATCTATCACTTGAGATCAGGATAAGTTTTACTTAAGTCACATGTATACACACACTGGGGAGAGAAAGAGAGAGATGAGAAGGAGAGAGACAGTGAGTGAGAGAGTGAGTTTGTGTTCTAACACAGGTTAGTTTAGTTTCAAGGCTCATTGATGTGTATGTATACGTTTTTAAGGAGTAACTGTCTTGTCTTAGCTGGTAAGGATTCTTGTTTGTGTAAGGAATAGTGAGTGATCTCTCCACATCCTCACCCCAGGAAATAATACAACCGTGGAAGGAGAAGCCTCTTATTACCTGGGGTTAGCCCACCTGGCAGCTGGAGAATATGAAACTGCACTAACGGTAAGTTGAAGTGAACTTGTAATTGCTGCTGCTGCTTCATTTTATAGTATCTGGTGCTATAAGGTCACACGAGATGGCTTGGGCCTGCCATCACTGTACCCGCTTACGGAGATCAGAACTGAAAAGCAGGATCCTAGAAGCAGGAAAAACCAGGTTCTGTTGATTACTGAAGGTGAGATACAGCCAATTACTATGAAACACTTACAGATATATGAAAGTTACACACATGGAGTAATATAACCCTCCGCTCCCGTCCGTCCAGAACAAGGGAAAACAGTTTTAAACGAAAGACGAAGAAGCAGAGAAGGTGCAGTGGTTTCATAATGTGACCTGAGACAGTTTGCTTCGAGAGGATGCGTCTGTCAAACCCATTGATGTGAGTCTTTAGCGGGGAAGGAGATGAGCAGCAGAAACAGTGAGAGTCTTCGAAACCCCTTACTCCATGACAGGATCAGTGATTGTACAGCTCATCACTGGGCCTGCTCTGTTTGGGGGACACAGACAAGTGAGAGCAGCAAGAGCTGAGTTTTCATTACCCTACGCTGCCTGTGATGTTCCGGGACGCCGCCTCCTACCATTTACATCCTAGGCACTTACGATGTGCTATGGCACAGGGTTGGTGCTGTGAGTCTCGCTGGCTCCGTTAGATGTTTATGCTATGTAGGATTCGTGTATTTGGGTCACCTGTTGTTTTCTACTCCCTTGAAACTGTTCACCACAGAAAGCATAGATTTTCCCGGCTGGCTTTTCCATTTAAATTTTGCGGTCAGTGATAAGAGTTCAGCAACGCTCCATTCTGGCGCATGGAGAAAAAACAAACCACCAAGATGCATACTTTCCTCAGGAGCTAATTTAACGAAAGTGATGGCCAAGAACCATGATCGTAATTGAGAGCCTTGGAGACAGGAGCTTATGAATGAGAGAAGAGGGGGGAGGTTCCAACCCTGGAAATCTGGGGGGTTACACAGGAGAGCAGTGGAGCAGTGGGTTTCTATACGCAGAAAACACAAAGATGGTGATCCAACAGTACACGTAAGCACAGTCACACACACACATGGATTTACTTGGGAAGCAATTAATTGTCTGAGAAAAAAAACGAAATGTAACAGGGGACAAAACTACAATACTGTAAAGCAAAATGATGGACACTGCCTGCCGGAAAGTGAAGTAGGGTTATCCGAGTTAGAGGCCGGCCTGAGTTACATACAAAGACTGTCTTTAAGAAATGGTGAAAACTAGGTCAGAGATTCTCACACAAACACCTTCTCGCTTTCCCTCCCTTTCCTCCCCCACTCCCCTTGCTCCATTTCTATAGAACATAATCTCCAGCGACACAATAGTGTTTACAATAAAAAAGCTCCCTTCCACCCACACTTGAGCCCACAATTCTTTTTCTCAAAGACAAACATAGTTACAAATTTATGGCTTGTCTTTCTAAAACACCCAGTACATGTGTCATGTAAGTGCATGTAGATATGCGTTCTTCTGTTCTGTACGAGATGTGTGCATCTTACATGCGCAGTTCTGTGCCTCCAGTAGACTTCTTCCATGCCAGTTCAGGCATGCTTCACTTTTCGCCATCATTCTTACAGGTTGATCTAGGGCTGGTTAACAGATAGACATGAATATTTAATATGTCAAACATGCTACTTGCTATTTTGAAATGTACATAGACTGGAAAATGATTGTCACAATCAAACTCATTAGCCTATCTATTTCATATCTTGCTTTATTTTTCTGAGAATACTCATGACCTACTCTCTTAGAAAATTACAAGTGTAATTATAGAATGCTTCCTTTTTTTTTTTTCTGGTTTTTCGAGACAGGGTGTCTCTATGTAGCCCTGGCTGTACTGGACTTGCTTTGTAGACCAGGCTGGCCTTGAACTCATAGCGATTCACCTACCTCTGCCTCCCTGAGTGCTGGGATTAAAGGTGTGCGCCACTACACCCAGCTATGTTTCATTTTAAAGGGCTGTATTAAGTACGTATGACTAGACCATGGAGGATTTAGCCTCTTCTAGGAGGACATTAAGGTTATTTTCAATAAATGTTTATTGTAAATTATATGTGTTACGACTTGAATATGAAATATGTTTTAGTCCCCGTGGCAATACTTGGAGTGTGATGGACCACATGTACCCTTCCCTCACTGATAGACTGCATCTAGGTAAGATTTGGTGGCCCGATGCCATACTTGGGGGCAGCAGGAACTTCACAGGTAAGAACTTTGAAGACACAGATTAATCCAGTCATGGTGGTTCACTGTGCTGACGTCAACTTGACACAAGGAAAAACAAGAGCTGAGCATTTTGTCTGAGAAGAGGAGACTTCAGTTGAGAAAGTTCCTCCATAACAGCCAGGCTGTAGACAGTCTGTGGGGCATTTCCTTAACTAGGGATGGATGGGGGAGGGCCCAGCCCATTGTGGGTGGAGCCATCTCTGGGCTGGTGCTCCTGCGATCTGTAAGAAAGCAGGTTGAGAAAGCCGTGGGAAGCAAGCCAGTGAGCTGCACCCTCCGTGGCCTCCGCATCAGCTCCTGCCTCCAGCTTCCTGCCCCACTTGAATTCCTGCCCTAGCTTCCTTCCTTCAGTGGCGGAAGTGGAAGCCAAATGAACCCTTTCCTTTCTAACTCGCTTTTGGTCATGGTGTTTCATCATAGCTACAGTAACTAAGACACTCACCCTTGGAATGCTAATACTTGAAATTCTAAGGCTGGAAGATTAAAGGGAATTCCAGGCCAGTCTGGTTTACAGAGTTAGACCTTGTTTCAAAACAACAAAGAAAGAAAACCTGAACAAAAATAAAAATAAAAAATAATAGGGACCAACAAGATAACTAACTCAGCTGGCAAAGGCTCGTGCTGCCAAGGCTGAAGACCCAAGTTGGATTCCTAGAACCCATGTGGTAAAAAAATAACTGACTTCCGCAAGTTGTCCTTTGAATTTCACACGTGTGCTGTGGTGCATTCATGCACACTCAATAAATATGTAAAAAATAAAAGAAACCAAAGAAGTAGGTATCTTGGGATGTGGAAGTGTATTCTTGGGATCCAGTTCTTGCTGTGTTTTGTTCTGGGCTCCGTCTTTGTCTCTCTGCCTACCATCATGAGGTGAGTCACGTTGCCTGCCACGTTCTCTCTGCTGTGATGTTCTGCCTCTCTGTGCACAACCCCAGAAGCAGTGGAGCCGAGTGGCAGAGACTGAGCTCTCTGAAACCATGAGCCAAAAGATACCTTTCTTCCCCATTTTGTTTTCCTCGTGCATTTTGTCACAGCCATGAAAAAAAAAAAAAAGCTAATAATAATAAACAGCCTTCTCAGATGTGACTAACTTCACTATAAAATGACTGGCTAAAGGTGGGAATTCTGGTGTGTCCTATGTTGCCAGTGGAATAAGTTAGCCCAGTAAAGAATGGATCACAAAAATTATATTTGACATCCAAATGGAAAATTCTTGAAACTATTTTAAGGAATTTTTTTTTTCTAGAAGTAAATATGAATCTCATGTTCACAGCCTATTATCTGGATAACCTTGGGCAAGTCCCTCGAGCCATCTACATCTCAATTGCTTCGTGTACCCGGTGGGAGTAATAAGTAGGCTCACTCTATTGAATATAAGAAGTTAAATAGTGCTGGTCCCCAGCCATTTCCTAATCCCTGGAACAAATTCAAACATAATTAGCTTAAGGACAGTAAGGTGAGATGATTGTCCTGGACTGACCGGGATGGGCTGTAATTTCAGTGGGTAGAGGAGGGTGCAACACAGACAGAAGAACAAAAGATAACACAGAGAGAAAAGGACCGTGTGGATGGCAGAAGCTCCCCTCAGCCGGTGTCAGGCAGCATCATGACCACACTGATGGCTCAGGCAGCGGATGCTTGCCTGCTCTTCCCCCATTGATAGCTCCAGGCTTTCTTGACTCAGGTTTACATTGCTACCATATCAGCCTTCATCCTCACAGACACACCCACGAGCTAATCTGACCTAGATATTTCCTCGTTAAGACTCTTCCCAGTTCAGTCTAGATTGAGTCAAGCTGACGGTTAAAGCTAACCAGCAAAGTCAATATACAAAACAATGGGCACTTGAAATTCTCCCAGTTCCTACTGGTCCCCTCCCTCTAAAGTTGTCCCCTGATTCTTTTATGGTCTTCAGACACAGACACATAGACAATTGATAATAGATGATAATGGTAGATAGGTGATAGATAGATGATTGAAAGCTAAAATTCCTTTACGTCAGAAAAACATGTGGTATTTTTCTCTGTCCTCTCTTTGGAGTCCTTTTCTAATAATACTCTGACAGTGTCATCAATAACATCTTGATATTATGGTCATGCTTTAAGGCAATGGCAGCATCTCTATCCTGTGTGGCTGTGGAGAGGTGTGAGGGTGACCCCTATCAGCTGTGTCACCTTGGAACACCTGGAGATATCCTGTTGTGAATGCTAATAATTATAATTAAAACTACAGGCTTTTATCCAGCCACTTGCATTTTTAAGTATATACTTCAAAATATCTTCAAATTTTAAGTATTTTCCCTCTCTGAACTCAGCCTTTCACACATTTCTCTCTTCCAATAATGCTATTCATCTATTTAATAATTCCATCATGTCTTTTTCAAAGACACACTCCTACTCAATAGTTCTATTGACCAGAAGGGGGCATTTTAAGTTTTTGCTAATGTGATTTTATTTAAAGACTTTTATTGTATCATTAATATATTTAACAAAAGAATATGTTCACTAGAATAAGAGTAAAAGTTCAGTGATCCCCTTCTTGCTGGTTGCTGTGCTTTAGGTGAGTCCCTGCAATGCATCTGTTAGTGATTTAACCTCCAAAGCCATATGCTAATAGCGTTTGCTGGTGAGGTAGTTAGATGAAGTCATGAGGGAGGGTCTTCAGAACAGCAAGAGTGCTAGCAGAAGAGGGGTCACCCGGAGAGCACATTGCTCTGTCTTGCTATGGAAGGCCCTCCACCATGTTCTAATCAGAGAGAA